AACACTCCCCATGCCCCCTCAACCCCGGCACCCACCGTTCTACTTTCTGTCCCTGTGAACCCGACCACTCCAGCACCCTCGCGTGAGCGGAATCATATGGTGCTGGTCCCTTCGTGACGGCTTATTTCACTTGGCATGATGTCTTCGAGATTCATGCATGTTGTAGCGTGTGTCAGAATTTCCTTGCTTAAGGTCGAATAATATTCTATTGCATGTATGTCCCTCATTTTGCTTATGTATTTAGGCCATTGCTACCTTTTGGCTGTTGTAGATAATGCTGCTATGAATGTTGGTGTTCAATCTTTTTTAAATTTTATTTTTAAATTGGAGTTTTAAACCGAATGACCAGCAGAACCAGACACCCGGTGCTGCCCAGTAGGGCCCGCCCCAGGTCTGCAGCTGGTTGGAGGGGGGCGGGGCGGGGGCCAGGCTTGGGGCTCACCCACGCAGCGCAGCACCACCAGGAACTCGTCCTCGGGCAGCCCGAAGGCGTTCTCGGGGCTCTCCAGCACGCTGAGCAGGCTCCCGCTGGCGCAGTACTCCATCACCAGCACCTTCTGCCGGCCGCCCCCCTGCGCGACGGACACAGGCAGCGTTGGGAGGATGCGCTTCTCCTCCCCACCCACCAAGAAGAGGTGGCTCAGCCTAGGGCCCCCATCCTCTAGGTCCCAGCTTCCAGCCCGGCCTCCCCTCCTTGGCCTCACACTGATCCCACACACTGGAGCCCGAGGCCACCTTCTCCAGGAAGCCCTCTCTGCTTAGGCACTTACTCCACCCTTGCATTCTTTGCTCCCCCTGCAGGTTGCCTACTGATGAGCAGGTCTCTGTGAGTGTATGGCTTGACTCTCCCCGGACTGTGAGGTCAAGGACAAGACCACCCTCTTCTGACCCAGCGCTGGACCCACCGTCTCCTCCACAGCGAAGAGCTTGACGATGTTCTGGTGGTTCAGCTTCCGCAGCACCTCAAACTCCCTCACCTGCACCTCGCGGGGCCGCAGGTAGCTGGCGATGTTGAAGACCTTCACGGCAACCAGCTCCCCGGATTTCTGCCAGGGGAGAGGGAGGGGTGGGAGACAGCAGGGGGATAATACAAGTCTCATCCCCGCAGGGAAGCAGCCGCCCTCTCCTGGGCCTCCGTTCTGCCTCTCTGAGCTGCCCAACCCCAGAGATGAGCAGACAGCCCGGTTGGATGGGGGCTCCCAACCTCAGCTCCCTCCCCTACTTGGGGGGAAGATGGTCCAGCACCAGGAGCTGACAAGGGCTTGGCCCACCTCACATCCTGCAGAGGGTAGCTTGTTATTAATATTATTGCTACTGACAATAACTGCAATGGCAGCCAACCCTCCTGGTATTAGCAGCAGAGCAGGGGTCAGAACCTGGCCTGTCTGGAGTATCATCTCGTATATTCTTGCAGGAAAAATCCAGAACAAGTGCCACTTCCCACCTCTGCTATTCCTAGATCCCATTGCTGTTACCTCCCTTGGATATTTGCTTGGTGACTTCATCTTTCTCTTGTCCCAACTCGTACCGACAGAGTAAGAGTCACCCTCCCGGGGAGCTCTTCCCAGCTCCTCACACTTTTGCTCAAGGCCACGGTGGCTCCTTCCCCAGAGTGTGCTGAACCAAGCCCAGAGGCCCCTGTCTGGCCTCGAACCACCTTTCAAGCCCACTGGGGGCCGACCGGGCCTCCTTCCCAGGTGCGAGGGGCCAGGCCCCCTACCTTGTTGCGGGCCTTGTACACGCTGGCGGTGGCGCCCTGCCCCAGCAGGTCGTCCGTGTGCCACAGGTAGTTGACTGTGCTCTGCATTTCCTCTCCGGGCTGGCTGGCCACCTCCCACCTGAGAAAGAACGTGCTAGGGGCTCAGGGTTCCCTTCCTGACCTGGGGTGGGCACCGGTGACCTGGCCAGTGGCCATGCCCCAAGACCACCCCACGAAGGGCTCCATGTGGCCATTCCAAAGGCAGAGGAGCAGGGGAAGTGAGGCACAGAAAAGTTAAGTAACTTCCCCAAAAAGAAGCACAGCACAACAGCAAGAGCCTGCGCCTGTTCCTCCCACAGGGACTTCGGCCTACGCTCACTGTGCCCAGGGCCCCTCCAGCCCCTCCCCAGACAGACCATTCTGCAGAGACAGACCTTCTCTGTCATCTCTCCCAGGGCACTGAGAATTCTGTGTTTTGGCCTCCAGGCCTGGGATTGTCCCAGGAAGCAGAACAGTGCAGGAGGAAGGGCCCCAGGTCAGGCAGCACTAACCACACCACCACAAATCTCCAGGATTGCAACACGAGCTGGACCCCCCCACCCCACCCACTTGCCGGCCTGCCAGGCCCACCACTTCCTGCCGCTGCGAGCTCACAGCTGCTGCTAGCCAGGCGGCCAGCACGGCCATGTCCATCAGAGGGACAGGGCTGCTGCAGGGTGTGTATGTGTGTGTGTGTGTGTGCGTGCGCGAGTGTGTGTGTGAGCAGGGGTAGAAGAGGTAAGAAATCATCAGTCTAAGGGCTTAGGAGCTCTGGGGAGGATCCGAAACCCCCTACAACTCCATTCCCCATCTTTGCCCTCATCCTCTTCTCTCCTAAGGCCGGTTCCTCTAAAGCAATTGGTTCCAGAAAGTGTAGCCTCGGAAGTTAAACTCCATGCCTCTCTGAGAAACAGGGCCAGAGCTGGCCTTCTGGGGATGCCTGCGGGCAGGACCATACGAAGGGCCACCATCCCTTAAATACTTTTAAATAAGGCTGGACTAGAAAAGGCTGCTTCCTGTTCTGACATCTTATAGGTTCTCAAACGGAGGGGCCCTGTGCCTGGAACCCTATGTCCTTAGCTCGGAGCCTTTCCTCTCTGAATTCCTTTTTAAAAATGCAAATCCTTGGGAATGTCCGTTCCTGAGCCAGAAGCCACTTGAAGAGATCAGTGGTCAATTCCTAGTTTCAGATACTGTGTTACTGTTTGCCTTGCACAGAGGGACTGAGGTCCTTGGAGGGTCCCTGAAGACCATATAGAGCTCAGTGTGAATAGGGCAGCCAGGCTTTCCCCCGAGGCTGAGGAGTCAGTCTGCAGGTCTGGGATGTGGGCTGGGGCAGAGCACACTGAAATCACGGCCAAGGCTCTGGAACTAGGGCAACGAACACGCCATGGTGATGGGCCGTGTGGTGCAAAGGGCAAGCTCCAGCCAGGCAGCATGGCCCTGGTTCTGTGCCCAGGAGGTCCGACTGCGGCACAGGTGTACTGGCTCAGCTCTGCATGCCCTGCAGCCCCCGCCCCCCGCACCTGTGCACGGAAGGGCGCTGCAGCCTCAGTGAGCCACTGGACGCGTGAGCGTGAACCCACCTCCCCTCCCTCCTCGGGCTCTCCCACGGCCAAATGCACTTACCGCGAGCTCTGAGCCGCCCTCAGTCAGGCAGAGACTCTCCCTGGCAGGCGTGTCTTACGCTGTCTGTTTGTGGCGAGTCCAGGAGCTGAGCTGCACCGGAAAGAGGAGGGCGGATGAGAGGCGCCCCTTGGTGCTGTTTGCTTCTCAGCCTCCATCAAAGGCCCCGGCCCTAGCCCTTTAACCCTTTCCTGTTTGCCGCCCTCCCCCACAGGGCTGGGGGGTTTCCAGCCCTGTGCCCCAGCTGTTCCGGGAGACTTTCCTGGCCACTCCTATTTCTGGGGCTCGGGCTAGGGGGGTAGACCCCGGGAAAAGTGAGGGAAGGCACTAGAAGCTGACCCCTGCCTGCAGGTGTCGGTAAGCAGAGCCCAGGGAGGCAGCATCGTTGGCCTCTCCTCTGTGCCACAACCCTCCCTGCCTCTCACTGGCCTCCCAGCAGCCCTTTCCAAGAGTGCCAGCCGGAGAGGGAGCACGGACACCACCCGACCCCCAACAGCCAGAGAGACACAGGGAGCACTGCTGCTGCCCTGCCGGTACCCTCGCACCCAGCTGACTTCTGCCCTGCAGCTGCCCCTGGGCTGCTCCCCACCCCCCCTCCTGCATGGACGCTGCACACTCACCCCATCTCCGCTGCAGGGGACGCAGGCTTGCAGGACTGGGTGGCACCCCCAGAGCTTTCAGGGCTTTCTGTCATTCGTGGGCAGTGCTCATAGCATCCTGGTAGCCACAGGTCCCTAGGACCTGCAGGCAGGGCCAGTTGAAATGGCCGTGTGCCACCCCGGGAGCTGGGACTAGTGGGTTTTCTCCCGGCTCTCTGGCGGCAGGACACCCAGCTCAGCACAGAGCCCTGGCTCTCAGCTCTCTCACACTTCCTGATTTCGTTCTCTCGCTCTCTCTTTCTCTCTTAAAGAGACAGAGGCAGCTCAGCACAGCCACCACTTCAGCAGCAAGGAGAAAGAGGATGCTCTGAGCTCCCAAGTGGAGGCGCAGGACCACAGCCTGAGCCACAAAGAGGCCAGGAACCGAGGCCCTGACGGCCGGGGCTGGGGCAGGCTGCTGGGTGCTGGTCCCGCATCTCCTGCAGTTCACTGGAGCAGGGAAGTTCAGGGCTCTGGCCAGAGTCAGCAGAGCAGGTTGGGCAAGTTAACCAGGTGGAGAGCTGCCTGGGAAGACCGACTTCCCACACCCAGGAGCCCCAGGGAGGTCCAGGACCTATGCCTCGCCAGTCCTAGGAGCAGTTGGATCTGACTCACCTTCCCAGGGAAGAGCAAGCACTGCAAAGAACCCAGGTGATGCCCTCCGGCGTGGCCCAGAGCACAGCACACAGCCAGCTTTCTCGCCCACAGCACGAGGATGCTAACGCTCACGCTGCGGGTGACACAGAACAGTGTCCGCGGACGTGCTTGGGAGACTGGAAACCGTTCTCCAGACTGAAGGCATCGAGGCCCAACCACTTCAGTAATTTGCCCACGATCTTCCGAGACCGCTGGGGCTGGAACTCGGGTACCAATTTCCCAGCCAGGACTCGATGCCCCAAATCAAATGTCCTAGGGGGCCAGAGAGGTCTGCGCTGCTCTGGCTAGCTCTGAGATAGCAGTTGGATATGAAATGGTTAAAACCAGGAAATTCCATGTTTCTATAGAATGTTGGAGGGACTTTCCCATGGCCACACCTGGTGGTTTCCTCTGCCAGCCCCACCCCTGCCATAGTGACAGCAGAACAGGAGCAGAGCTGAGAACCGTCTCATCCTCAGATAAACGTACCTGCTCGGGACACCGGCAGCCAGAGGCACCGCTGCAGGTTCTCACAGCAGAACCGGATCTGCCTGCTCCGCCCGGTATTCCCAGCGCTCCGCCTGCCTGGTGTGGACGAGAACTGCGCTTCCTTGGCACCCTGTGACCGAGGGGGTAGCATGTGACTTCCCCACCACAGCATTTACTTGCTGATGCAAGACCCCCCCCCAGAGCTCCACCCTCTGGCAATGTGACTATCAGGAGCAGAGCCCCCCTGCTGGCCCCCAGGGACATTTGCCTTTGGGAAGAAATCTACCTTTGTCGTCTCAGGCCACTGAGGTCCGCAGCATCGCCTGTGCCTGTCCCTAAACACGTACCTATTTTCCCTGATGAACCTGCAGGCTCCTCCCCAGCGCTCTTCCCTTCCTCTCCGCAGCAAGCCGGGTCTCTCTTCCCCTGCGTATTCGTCACCCTCAAAGGCGACGTGTGTGCGGCTCCTGCTAGGAAGCAGGCACTGTGTGCTGACGTGAAGGGGAGACCTGGCACCCCCCAGGAGCCTGGGCGTCCAGGACAGCGCGGGGAACGCCATGACACACACCGCAGCAGCCAGCGAGTGTGTGAACCCTGGCGGGGGAGGGCAGGATTGGGGGAGGACGGTGGTCAAGGAAGGTTTGCAGGAGAAGGCTGCTTCGACTTTGGCGAAAGAGGAGTTAGGTGGAGAAGGGGGAGCTGGAGGGGAGGGATTCCAGGCGGTGGGCGCAGAGGCACAGGAGGGGAGAAGAGCCGGACCAAGGCTGGAAAGAAGGGGGAGGCGGCGGCGGCTGGGACAGATCGAGTTCCCTTGGGTGTCCTCTGCGAGGTCCCATCCTCTGTGTGGACGAAACGAGGCAATGCCTTGCCTGTGCCCCAGCTGGGGGTTCCATCCGGGGAGGAGCAGGAGCCTGGGGAGCTCCCAAGGGAAAGGAGACGTCCCTGAGAGGCCTCGCCACGTTTTCCCGAGTGGCTCTGAGGAGCCATAGAAACAGAAGTGGCAATCCAAAGTCGCACGAGGACCGAGGCAGGAAGAGGACGGTCTTTGATGGCAGCTCTCAGGGAAAACTTTTCAATCTGCCTTCTACAAACAGGCTGAGCGGTGTAGGGGCAAGGGCGGGAGCTAGTGACATCCTCATAGAGGCGTGAGTCTTACCGCTTATTCCGGGTGACCTTGAGCGAGCCATTCGACCCTTCTCACCGAGTTGGTGTGAAAACAAGATGAGATGAGGGCCCGGTGCCTGGTAGGCTCTGGTAGACGTTAGTTGCTTTTTCTGCCTCTACAGGGCCTGAGCCAGGTTTTCACAGCCACTCCCCCGCCGGCGCCTTAAGGGGCGGGGAGAGAAGGATGGTGGAGGGGTTCCGTGGAAGAGGCTGGGGGGCGCATTTCAGGGGCAGTGTGTACTCGCTGTGCTCAGTCACAAGTATGAAGGGCTCAGTGACGAGCTCTCAGAGCCCAGCTCCTTGCCACTCTGAGGAGTCGGCTCTGGCTGGGAGGGACACACATTGCAGCCAGGCCTGGAGCTGCTGGCCCGAGCAGTGGGGACAGGAGCAGTGGGAGCAGCATCCAGGCCACAGAAGAAAATCGGTCCCCGTGCCCTCATGTGCCATCTTCCCTAGTATGGAAAAGCAAGTAATTCAGTCTCCTGACTCTTCAAAACTCCGCCGCAACGCTCCCTCCCATGCTCTCAGCTAACAACCTTGAAAAAAAACAACCAGGGAAAAGGCAACCCCCCAATTTCCTAACCCCAAAACCAACGCCCGCCCCGGGCCGGGCCCAAAAAACCGCCCTCCCCCCAAGAAAAAGGAGAAAGTGCTTCTTCTTGAGCCTTTTCTAGTGGACGTGGCCGACCCTTCCACTTGCGCCATGTAACCCCGCACCCCCCAGCATACTCATTCTTCCCATCCTACTGGGTCCTGCCCACTGAGCAAACGTGCCTCAATGCTGTCCACCTTCAAAGCAAAGATCTGGCCCCTCGCCCCCTCTTCTTGCTCCCCATTCAAGAGCTGTGAAGAGTTACTGCCTCCTCTTCCCTTCCCGTCCTGCTGCCTAACCCGCTCTTGGGGAACTCATCTCCCCTGTCCTGAAAATGCTCTTGTCCAGGTCACCAAATGATTCCCTCTCTACTCCAGCCTCATCTTACCCCAATGGCATCCAACAGTTGATCCCTCCTTTGTTGAAACATTTCCTTCTCTTGGTTTCTGTGACCCTGTGTTCTCCCAGCCACCTACCTCAGTGTCACTTGCTCCTTCTGTCTTCTTCGCTGGCTCCCTCTCTCCTCTGCTGGATTTCTAATTACCAGGACCTTCTCTTTTTTCCACCTACACGTTCTTCCCAGGACTCCTGTTTGAATACAGCTATGGCGTGATAGCTCCTAATATGTTTTCAGTATGATCTCTCCCTACAACTCCAAATTCCTATATCCGAGTGTCTGTCTGATATTTCCACTGGGATGTCTGCTGGTCAGCGCGACCTTACCAGGCGCAGCATGATTCTTGATTTCCGGCCTTAGTCCTTCCGGCTGATGGCCTTGCCCAGGCACTCACTATCTTATTACATTGTTTCATTTTCAGAGTAACAGTTATTTTGCTTTATTTATCTTTCCTCCCCGATTAGAAAGGAAGCTCCATTATCTGTTTCTTCAGTGCGATAGTACACGACAGTGCTTGCACAGAGAGGCTCCGAGTTCGTTAACTGACTAAACGAGTCTTCAGCATATGGAATATGCCAAGGTTGCTTACTCCTGAGTAGAAGGTAACATCACATACCTATGGATATAAACATTTACATTAGATAATCCTAAAGACCGTTTCCTAAATTCGTACCTCCATGATCTCCTTTTTTGGTTTCTATCTGGATGGAATGGGCTTGTGTTTTGACTGTGCTCATTGCCCCTCGTTTCCATAGAGCTCCCATCAGAATATATGAGATGAACGAAGAGGGCCTAAAAAGCATGGCCCGCCTTTGCCGTAGGCCCCTCTGAAAAGGCTCTTTGGTCCTCTGCTCACAGCCCAAGAACTGGCTCCATCTCCCAGCTACCCTGGGGTGTTCCAGGCCATCCCCACCCCACCGCCACGCAGGGAGTGAGAACTCATTCATACGCCTTGGCTTTCACTTACACAAGGCCACGGCAGGAGAAGCTCGAGATGTAGCTGTCCCTTTAAAACAGGGGTGGGTGGGGGGAAGATGACAGGGTGGAAGGGCAAGACAGAGCTGAATGAAAGATAGAGATGACAAACCCCAGAAGAGGATGTAAAGTGTCTGGTGTAAGGCTGGGGTCAGGATTCCTCGTTACCACTGAACACAGGGTACCCCCTGGGATGTCAGAGATGTGACCCATCCCCGGGGCATGTGGTATCAGAATAAGCCTATGGAAAATCTAGGATCTAGGATGCATTTGAAGTTGTTACCTTTGCATAACTGTACCCTTGAACTTACGCTCTGCTAGAATCAAAATCTAAAGGAGAGAAAGCATCTCCTTTATCCCGTACCCCCACCAACGGTGCTGGCATATTGGGTAGCTCTTCCTGCGGGGAGACTGCCGAGGGCAGAATGACTCAGGGCTCTGGTTGTAGAAGAAACAGAACCTCTGGTCACCTTTGGTTGTAGCTGGCAGTTTCCAAGTACCTTCTTAGGCCTCACTCCTCCCAAGCGAGGAAATCTGACTGGAGACAGAAATGAGAACAGTCCTCATTGAAAACAGGGAAGGTGGATTCTGAAAAGGAGACGGTTCTCATGGCAACAGACTGCCCAATGGTGAGCTGGGAGACTTTCTACGAAACCTCTCAGGCTTCACCGCAGGCTGAATGGAAATGCAGGCGGGGGTCGGGGGTGGGGGGCCCACATTCTAGATGCAACTCTGCCTGCCTTGGTGAGGGAGGGAGAAGGCGGCTGGCTCTAAGGTCATCTCGTTTCTCCCTGTTGCCAGGCAGGGCTCTGTTAGCACAGACGAAATCAAAATAAAATCCCTCCTGGGCAGCCGCACTCCTGAATCAGTGATTTCAGAGAGTAAGGAAGGGATATGAGCTGCAGCATCGAAACCTAAAAATGTATTTTATTTTGAAGTTGTGCTTTGGATTTTCCCCAATCCAACATCTGTTGAGTGACAGTCTTAGGTTCACACAAAGCATCTCCAAGCATACATACAATATTCCAGTTATCAACACTATTGTAAAGAATATACCATTTTACACAAATGTGACATACGAGTCAGACGCCACAACATCGTAATTCCCTGGAAGATCTAACTTCTCTTCTGCACGTGAAGTACACATACACCAGCCCTTCCAGTGCTCTGTTCGTCCTGACGCTGGCGTCATCGCTCCTCATCTCCTTGGGGAGAAACCAGGGCGCCCTGAGGAGGTTGGCTGAGACCAGTGTTTCCAGTTTACAGGCTGCTGGCTACAAACTCCTCTACTTTTCCAAATTGGGATGCTGGCAGCCCCACCCCACCTCTCGTCCCCAAAGACTGCCCCTTCAGTGTCCACACCAGGAAAAGGATCCACGCCACGAGGAGCAGAGCGGGGCTCTTTGAAGCATCATGCTGGTTTCGGCAAGCGTATCTGAGGAAGACTGGTCTCCCTAGGCCCTGGGTGGCCAGGGCTTTTCGGTGTAAAAATCACAGTGTGCAACCTCGATTCCAGTTGATCGTAGTGAACTCTGCCGAGAAGGACTCTCCTCCTATCGGTTCCTAGTCCTCTCGACAGGCCCATCTCACGGGTGTCAGGAGCACCAGAGGTGGGGAAGACAGCTCTGCTCCCAGAGTTGGGTTGAGTAGGTGACCACTCACACACTGTTCAGTTCATGATGCAAATCAACAGCAGATGGACACTGACCAAGGGGATGGTGAACACAAGTCATGTACAGGGTTGAAAGAGAAATAAGGCAGGAGCAACAGAACAGGCCCAAAGTGTTGTCATTAAGAAAGCTTTGCTTTTACTTTCTTAGAGGGGAGTGGGCTGGAGAGAGGGGGACAGGGCAGGTGTGGGTACCAGTTTTGATCAGTTGGATTAGAAGGAATGTAAAGTGAAGGGTAGGGCTTCATTTCCAGCAAGGAAACAGCTCCTTGGGCATGAAAGCCCCCTGTGGGCTGAGGACCTGGGCAAGCCCAGGTGACAGACCGGTAAACGGAGCAACAAAAGCCAAGAATCCAAAGGATTGTAAGTTGCCTCTTGCAGGCCAACTCACTTTACTGAAGGAGTTCTTTGGTTCTCCCTTCTAGCTCCTGGAATGGTTTCTCTGGTGCCAGAGGTTAGCTTTCTCAGTGGTAGCTTTCCACAAAGCTCCCCTTTCCCTTCACACACAATGAGAAAAAATCCTACTGCATTCTCTAGATCCAACTACCAACTTCACAGCTTGGTCCAAAAAGGCTCTCTTCTAGGTGAAAGATGAGAAAACAGATTTTCCTACCTGAATGGCAACCCACCATCTCTCCTGAACTACAGAAGATATAATAATAAGGCTAAAATAAAAGCACAACTTGAAAACCAGAAAACATAGAGAAGAGGAATGAGTTTCAGCTTTACTCAGGTTGCTGTCTGAGACCCGAGCCTGGATGTAAATGTCTCCAGTCCTGGCACTCCTGGGGTAGCATCATGCTAGGGGAGCCAGGACCAGGGGCACCAGGTTTGCAGACAGAATTGGAGCAGACAAGGGCATCATTTTTGCATTTTGGAGAGGAACCAGAAAAAAGGCCATAAGAGAACCAAACTATTCAGCATCCAATTTTTAATTTTTCTTTAGCTTCTGGCTTTGGGAAGGCTTTGGAGCCTGTGAGGTCAAAGTACCCTCAGTTGTCCTTGTTTGGATAAACGGAAACTGGTTTTAAGGGACAGTGTCTCTCTTTAATCTAACCAGGGCTCTTAAGCCCCTGTTGGTCCCCGAAGAGAGACCTTACAAAATAACCAAACTAAGAAGTGAACTTAAAATAAGTTTTCATTTGGGAACAATTTTTGGGTTAGCAAAGCTGGATTCAATTTTTTAATAGAAGAATGAATTTAATGTTTTAAGTGCCAAAAGCAAAAGTAGGAGGAAGAGGGACCCATTTCTTACCTTTTCTAAACCTGCCATAAACACAATAGAACTCTCTTAAGACTCTTTACCCTAAAAGGAACCAGCTATAAAACCATCTTACACAGGAAAATGTCTTAAATGGAAAATGGTCCATCAGAGAAAAGGATAGGAACCCGGGAAATGTCTATACATTCAGAAAAACTTTAAAAGCTCCTTAATAAGATCGGAGTGTACTTCTAGGGGATGGAGGAGAGCAAGAGCAAACACCAATGACCAATTCACACCAACAGAAAGAAGACAGAGAGCGAGCCCCCAACCCCAAACAGGTCACAAGATTGTCCCATCCTGTGAAATTTCATATGATGGGGAGATTTCAAAGGCCAGGTTCTCTGGCCCAGACAGAACGAAGTTTGTAACGGAAACAGAGACCCCTGGTGGCTCCTGTGTGAACTGCCACAATAACTTACAAAGAGACTGGTCTATGACCAGGAGAGGCTACACATGCCAGAGACTAGAAAACCTACACGTGTGTGTACGTGTACGTGTGTGTGTAAAATGAGGAATGGACTATATATGATTCCCTATCATCAGTACCCAAAACAAGATGCCACTGAGAGCTAGATGGCCGTAGCCAACCATCTGGTCAAGGCATCCCCTTGGTCTGAGGGGACTGAGACTGGAGCTCATGTCCTTCTGCTTGCCTCGCCAGATTTCACAGTGACCTGATAATGAAAAACTCTGTCTCTGGCTAACTAAGAACAGCATGGACTGCAGCTGGCTGGATTACGACGACTGGGGGAAGCGGAGGGCAGTGGGAAGGGAAGGGAAAGGAGATAACGAAGGGTTCATTCTCAAGGTTTTGGGTGATGGGGAGGCTAATTCCTGCAAGAACAACTTAGAATCTAATTTTCAACTGAAGTCCCCAAGCTAGTTAAATAGGAAGATTTTAATAACAGTCAATCCCCTTGTGTAGAACAATTAAATTATATGCCTCAGACAGTACAGGACTTGTCAGTAGACTGTGGGGAAGCTGCTGAGTTGACACCAGGGCTAGTGGCATTTGTTTTGGGGAAGACAGTGGGCTTGGGCCGTGTGGCTGGTGGTTTGACCGGGGCGGCCATCTTGACAGACTTCACAGGCCGGAAGGTGCAGGCGATGTCCCCAGCAGTGCTGGCGCTGCGCTGGAAGGTGGGCTCGGGGTCTTTGAGGAGCTGTGTGTGCAGGGGGCTGGAGGGCTCCGACGTGGGGGCCACCACCGGGGAGGTTTTGAGGGGCTCCAAGGTGTCCAGAACCACATCGGGGGTGTGCTTGACGCTGCTCTGCCGCTCCAGCTCCCGCAGCTCGTTCAGGGCCGAGTTCATCGTTGTCTCGATATCCTGCGAAACAGGAAAAAGGAGGTGAGGCAAATGAAGGGAGGAGGCCCCAGGGATCCTCGTTCCGCAACAGAGGCCAGGTCATGAAGAGACCACTGTCCAGATCACTGCACTTGGCCCCAAATCCTGACCATGCGAATGCTCAGAATGTGGGAAAGGGGGACAGAGGGATTTTCATCATCCTGAGATTTTTTCCCTTTAGCAAGAGTGGTTGGGAAGTTCTTAAAATGGAGACCTTGGGTTTTAGAGACAGGTACTGAAATATTTATGGACGAAATGACAGACCCCGCGGGGAGGGAAAAGGTGGGTGAACAAAGAGTGGCCAGGAGTTTGGTCTGGAGTACATGGGGACTCATTATCCGGTTCTCTCTACTTTGGCGTAGGTTTGAAATTGCACGTAATAACCAACTTATAAACAAGTGGCAGAGATGAGGTATGATCTTTATTCTCTTGGACTTCAAGGCCAAAGGGTAAGAGGGTTAGTCCCTCCTCGGGGGCTGAGGGAAGTTTCAGGAGGCCAGTCCCTTAGGATTCATCAGGACACCTCCTCTGGCCCCTCCTCCCCACTCATGGAAGTGTCCAACTTGAAAGCATTTTCATTTACCCATCACCATGGGAGGCGACCACAGTGACCAGGAGGGGGCGCCCAAGCCCACATAGGTGAATCGCCTGGAGCACTTCAGATCTCAAAGAGCAGCCCCAGCCCAGGGGCTCAAGGCAGAACCAGGAACCTTTTGTAAGCAAGCCAGCTGCCTCCCAGAGAGACCTCCCAGCTCCCCCCTCCCTCCCACAAACTTGTGTCTGCCACCCCCAAACCGCCACAGGACTCCTCCTTGGGATTAGGCTCACACTGAAAGATTGTATGTTCCAAGCAAAGGCCCCTGGTTAAGGTTTCTTTGTCCTACAGAGTGATCCATGCTTTCTGTTGACAGTGATTCGATTTTTTTTAATTAAAAATTTTTAATCATTATGGGTACGTAACAGTTGTATATCTTTATAGAGTACATGTGATGTTTTGATACAGGCAGTGATCCAATTTCACTCATCCCCATGACATTCTCAAGCCCTTAAAATGCTCAGGAAGAATTCCTCCTTCCTCAGTCATGCTCTGCACCCAGTCTGTCCCAGCTGTGTACCTTTTCCTGACATTCCTATTAATGCCCGGCCAAGGGGGGAGCTGGGAGGATTCCCACGGTGCAAGGCAGATTGCAGCCAAGAGCTTAAACAGAGGCACAGAACAGACAGCTAGCAAAGCAAGACGTCTCAGGCCCACAGCTCAACACTGGGCTTGCCAGGTACACGTCCTTAAGCAGAGCACCACGATTAAGCCAATAGAGACCATGCCCAGCCTCTATCGCACCCTGGAAGACGGGGCGAGGAGAATCTCAACTCGGTTGAGACGTAAGAGGGCAACAATGAGCCCTTAGTTCCTACCTGGTCTAATGAAAATTATATAGTTGGGAGAGACGTCTGAGTGAACTGCTTGGAGTGGCCCCGGTAGTCGGATTTTTAGAGATGGGGTTGGATCTCTAATATTTCATGGAAAATAGACAGTCATCAGTGTGATGCATACACGGAAGGAAGACCCTGCCATCGGGAAGCTCATCTCCACTGCACCTTGAGGTTTGGCCAGCAAATCCTTTTGGTACCTGAGCTCTCAGCAGCCAGAGTATTCCTGGGCCTTTAAGACCAGGCACAGATTGTTTCAATTATATATTAATTGCTTTATAGATCAGGGAAAGGTGCAGATTGTTGATTGATCATCTACCCTCTAGGTACCGGAGAGCGGCCTTAGGCATTGGGATGATGGGGATGAGCAGAGCGATACAACAATGTGGCCAGAGTGATAGCTGAGCCTCAATACTCGGGCAGTTTCACTAAAGTCTACCAGGGTCTGAGAACCAAAACTTGGGCTGAATGGACTCTATCAAAATACTCCAATTACTGGCTTTAAAAATTAAAACATTCTTGCAAATAGTCAGTGTATGAGCAAGAAGCCAGAATTCTTTTATTCTGTCTTCAGGTTCTTCTTGGGGAGAGAGGGACAGGCAGATTGCTGGTTAAGCCATCTTATTGGGTCCACATGTCCAAGCGTGGACACGGATTTGGTATATAATGTACAAAGTATCATTTTGTTTCAAGTCCTGTTATCATTAGCATGGGCCGCAATAAGTATGGAGTATAGACGAGTACAGACTCATGCTGTTTGTCCAGGAGCCCTCAGTTACCTGTGCAATGACCTCGGGGTCCATGGGCCGATGGTTATTGAAGCTTTTTGACCTTCCTGCTGTGGCAGTCTTCCGGATCTGGGGACTGTCCAGCCGATTCTTCAGGGATGAATGGCGGCTGATGGAGTTGAGGCTCCCGTGCCCACTGATGGAACACTTTTCTGGCCCTTCTTTGGGGAGACTCTGGCTCAAGATGGGTTGGGAGGATGGGCGGCAGCTAGCCCCCATCCCCGGGGAGGAGGAGTCAGTCAGGGAACTGCTCAACCCATGGGAGTCACTCCGAAATGTTTTCCGGATGCTTCCAGATTCTGGACGTTTCCTTTGCCTTTAATCACAAACAGAAAGGGCAGTGTGATCAGGGAGCCCTGGCTCCAAGGAACCTAGAAAGAGTGAGAGGGGGCAGATAATGGCACCCAGGGACTTCTGGAAGGAGAGGGACACAGAGTACATTCTCTCCTGAGTGTCACCTTCTCTTGTATTCTCCATGTCTCTATTCCCCTGCCACCCCCAACCTGGGTAAAGGAGAAATGGATACTTACTTGGTGGTTATGGGCTTTGAGTTCTCAAGATGTAAGGTGCTGTCAAAAAAATGTCTGGTTAAGTGAAAGTTTCTAATGGGAGATAGATTCATGGAAAGACCCTCTCCATTATCCGCTGTGAACAGAAACCCAAGGCCCCAGGTAGGAGAAGAAGTCTCACCATCACCAAGGAGGTGGGGAATTGGTGGTAAGAGGAGAGTTAACTTTTCAAATTTTAACACGTCTCTTGATCCAGTGAGACTATAATCATTTTGGGTGTTGGCAAGAGGCTGTTCTTGCTTATTCTGCAGACATGGAAGCAGAATAGTTTTCAAGAGGTAGCAACGCTGCAGAGTTAGGGCCCGGTTTGTGCATTTTCTTAGTGTGGAAGTTCATCTACATGACTCCCGAGTCAGCCAGTGCTGGGTTGAGCCCTGGCTCCGGGTCAATTTGTTTCAGACCACTGAGGGCTCTCATACAAAAGGGCTTGGCAGAATCCTAGTTATATGGGTGTTGCCTGCTGCTGAATAATTTCATTTTCTCTTGGAATCAGATTTTAAAGGACGTAATCTAAGAAGCAATGAAACTTCTGGTCCACATGGCAGGTGGACAGCTCTGATCTTGAATCTACTAAGGGAGACTGGGACTGAGGCTAGAGTTGAGGGTGGAAGGAGGGAAGGGGTAGGATTCTGAAGCTAAGGAGTGGTCAGTGTATGAGGCAGGGACAGTGCTCTAAGCCAGTCCTGGTCCTACTCACCGCTGAGGTCTTCCTCATCTTTCTATCCCTGGGGCCTGGCCCAGAACCTGGCATGTATCAGCCACTCCATGAATCCTGCCTGCTTGGCACTTTTAGCTTTGTGAGTCAGCCCTTCTCGAGTGTAAAAAGGATGTTTTCAGAGTCTTATATGGCCTGCTGAAATGACCCCTCCTCTGCAAAGATGTCCCTGGCACCACTAACTCCAACTGCAGGCAGAATAGATCCCTCCCTCCTCTGTTTCTCCAGAGCGTCTATGACACTACTTTTAGTTACCTGTTCACATGGTCTTTACCTTGCAGACTGAGTTCTGAGGCCAGGGGTCATGTCTTATTCACCTCTGAACAGCCAGCACGATGCTTGGTACAACAGCAGATACTTCATAAATGCGTGGAATTAAACTGAAAGGCCACACCCTCATAATTCTTTGCTGATTTTCTTTTTCCACTCGATGGCTGACTCACAAGCTTAAAACTGCTGAGAAGGCAGACGGCTGGAGTGGCTGCAGGGTGCCTCACCCCGGGCCAGGCCCCAGGGATGGAAAGATGAGGAAGACAGAGTTCCGGTTTCAGGGAGCTCAGTCTGGCGCGAGATCCGAGTGCAGCATGAGCACCAAGAGGTACTCAGAATGCTCTGGGACACGGCACACGGGCACCTGACTCAGTCCTGGGGAAGGCAGGGTGTCAGAAAAGCTTCCCGGAGGAGGTACACCTTTGGACTGAGTCTTGAAGGGAGAGGAGGAGCTGACCAGGTGAGGGGACGGCAGGCGTGGCGGCCCAGAGGTGAAAGAGAACCCGGGCCCTCAGGAATTGAAGGAGCTTGGGAGGAGTGATGGGGGTGAGCAAGAGGTCAGGCTGAAAGGCAGACTTGCTCCTAGGGCCAGACATGCCCAGGGGCTGCCGCTTACCCACCCACCAGCTGGTACCTGGGTAGGCCATGGTGACGGAGGCTTGTCCTCCAAGAACCCCATCATGAGAAGCCTGACACGTCCGAGCAAGGAGTGTAAGAGAACCACCTTACCTTTCTACCACGTTCATCTTTTGACTAGTTCAGCTGTTATTCTCCACAATTTCTTTGTACAAATGGCATGAAATATATGATGGCTTAAATGTATGTACTTAACTCATTATTTAGCTCTCCCTCCGCGAACCCCACCTTGGTTTCCAGGTTAACTACAGGCTTACGACCTTATGATTGTAGGCTTGTACTATAACTAATATAGGCTTGTGAATAAGGAAGAAAAATGTGATTAGCCCACAGTTACTTTACACTAGCTTGCCCTCCTAGCAGGGCAGTATGCTGGAGGAAAATATAAAACCTCAATCTTTTTTTTACTGGTCTGAATTAAATTATAACTACACTGAGTAAGTGATCCGAATAAACTACTTTACTAACTTGAGGGTGAACGAGATGGAAAAGAGCCACGTGCCCCAACCGCTCCCCCTGCTACTGTCTGGTTGGAAAAAAGCCAAGAGATCTGGGAAAGCTGGTATAGTTTAAAAACAACAAGCATCTTTTATTCTCCTTCCAGTCTCAGTGTCCAGAGGCTACGGTTAACAGGTTTTCAGAGTGCAAATCATTTCATTCCTCCAAAGCCAGAGGGGAATAAAAACTGTACATCATCTCCAATCCACATTCATCAGGAGCGCCCTGGAGCTGGTCATCCTGCTGGCACGGGGCCAAGTTTCAGGGGCTGGCAGAAAGAGGTCTGTAGGCTTTGGGACTTGGTGTCTGGCCCCTTGAGATGAGATTAGTTCTCCAATAACCTGAATGCCTCTCGGGGAGGCAGCAGCACACGCAGGCGTGGAATCCCTCTAGCCAGCCAGATCGGGAGTGGGTGGAGTTAAAACCCCAGGATGTCGCTAACGGCCACAATGAAAGCTGGGGGTCAGAGGTAAGAGCCTGCCGGACAGGAGTGGGAATCCGCAGAGGGACTAAGAGGAAAGGATGATACACAGGGCTAATGCAGAAGGAAAAAAGTGAAAACTTATTTTCCCTTGTGAAGGGGCAAAGTAAGGGGGAGCCAGGGATCAGGCAGTGAGCAAAGAGCTCACGACAAAGCTTTCCTTGGGGACATCGTGGTCTCCTTCCCTCCACAGGAGTGAATGCAGGACGGGGCAGCAACAGACACATGATATTGAAATAAACCCACCTGGGCTGACATCAGCCTAGTAGGAGACACACACGAGACTCTGAATCTTTGCACAAACGAGGGTCAAGGGAGACAGATAACAAAGACTATTACAGGAGAAAAACTGGAGAAGAGAAGGCACCTCTGAGAAACAGTACAAACCAGGTTGCATAAAGTGACCAAAGCTTTGGCCAGAGTTTTAGCCAGAAGACTGCCGGGAAGGTCTGGGCTGACACTGTGGGAACATACAAAAGAGCACCGTTCCACAGCACAGGGGCAGCTAGCTGGAGACCTGGACTGGCCCCCGAGGCCTGTAGAAGCTTCCTCAGCCCTGTCCGCCTCGCAGCAGCAATGAACGCATGCAACTGTTAGGCTGGGGGAGCCGGCACCCTCTGCGCAGCGCAGGAATGGAGAGAGGGGTTAGGCCAGAGGGTGACGCTGGGTGTGGCAAGTCATTCAGGGGAGCAGAAAATGAAAAGCAGAGCTTACTTGTTGATGTTTGCAAGATAAATATCGGCTACATGACCCCCACTGGGACAGCTGGCCCCCGCTCTGGCTGTCACCTTTTCTTCAGGTGGCTCAGAAATGACCTCAATCTCAGACTTGGGGCTGGACCTCTCCACGACACCGTCCTCGCTGGGGGAGAAGGGGCAGGCAGGCAGGGAGGAGGGAAAACAACAACAACACAAAAAGCAGTGTTAAATCGGCAAGATGGCCCCCCCGACACACACGCGACCCCACACAGCTCTGAGGCAGCAGCAACACCTGGCTGGGCTAGCTCTGTGAGCAGAGGCGAGGAAACCTAAGGGCTTTCGGAGGGTTGTTTAAATAAAAATAAATAATCCGCTGAGTTCTGCGGGCTCCTCAGCTCCTCAGGAAAGCTTGGCTAGGGGACACCTGGATTCGAGGCATCTGCCTTCTACCCCACGCTGCTTTCTCGGGGCGGCCGCGCTGGGACCACCTCCTAGGGAAGGAGGCGGCAAGTCCAGGTTGTGGTTTATCTGCTGAGGTCCCGGGCACTGCCGGGTAAGGACAGTCAGCTCTGTGGTGGCTCTGGAGATGCCGGCGTCGAGGCAGGACACCGCCACACGCTGTCGTAGCGGATCTAGCCCCGCTTAGAGAGTCCAAGCCGGTCCCAGGTTTCTCCACTGCTCTCCTGGCCCCTCTGGCTACTGATGACAAAGAAAGCCCCTTCTCCCCCACAATTCATCTTCTCTTGATCCTGTAGTGAAGTCATAATGCTAAATTTGGGAGGGTCCTGTTCACGCACAGATTGCCACCAGGTTTGCGATGCTATCAACAGAGGGAGGATTTCCCTGCAGAACGAGCCGGGGAGAGGCTGGGAGGGTGCAGACTCATTCAGGATATCAACCTTTAAGAAATAATATTAAGGGAAGGACTAAAAACACTGACAGCATCGTATCCAAGGGAAGGGAGCTGGGGGCAGAGGCAGGGCAAAGGGACAGGGAGGCAGGCTTGGGGGGACCCAGGGGACACTGCTTCAAAGTGTGGGAACCAACTGATAGCCCATCTGGGGAGATCTCTCCGGGGCCAGTTCAGATTCCCTTTGTTCCCTGACATCCTTTCCCTCCTCTCCCCCATCTTGCCCTAAATCAACCACATCTGGGTTAAAGGAACTGGGTCACTTCCATAAGGCTGCGTAAGCCAGATTTCTCCTAGAAGAGTAACTTGTCACTTTCATTTGCAAGTGGAAAAGTGCCACCAGCAGCTCAACAGGTTGGGGTGGGCACAGTTGTTGAAAAAAAAGATGGAGAAGCAAAAATGTTTTCCCAGCCTGATCTTCCCAGAAAGGAAATGTAGGTGGTCAAATAACAACCCCTGGCCTAGTGCTGTGGCTCACACCTGTAATCCCAGCACTCTGGGAGGCTGAGGCGGGAGGACTGCTTGCGGTCAGGAGTTCAAGACCAGCCTAAGCAAGAGACCTCTTTGTACTAAAAACAGAAAAAAATTAGCAGGGTGTGGTTGCAAGAGCCTATGATCCCAGCTACTGGGGAGGCTGAGGCAGGAGGATTGCTTGAACCCAGGAGTTTGAGATTGCAGTGAGCTATGATGATGCCACTGCACTCTAGCTGGGGCAACAGAGCGAGATCCTGTCTCAAAAATAAATAAATAAATAAAATAAAAAACAAATAAAAAACCTCATTATTACTCATCAGGTATAAATGTGGATGAGCTAGTGGAGAGATGTTAAAAAATTCTCTACTGAGGAGGGTGGAAGGGAAGAGGAACTGTGTGAGCCTCAGGACCACACTGGTGCCCCCTGGGGGTTGGTTTCCCTCATACAAATGAAGTCTCACTCCCACAGTGCAGCCAGGGATCCAACGTACGTGTCTTGGACCACGATGTACTGATGGGGGATGAGTCCGTCGATGCCATTGTGCCGGCCTTCCCACCAGTCGTCGGAAGCCCGCTGGTAAAGCAGCAGGGATGCCCCCTTCTTGAAGGACAGCTCTCGGGCTGTCCGGCCCACGTAGTCAAACTTGGCAATGGCCTCTATGGGCTCACATTCTGAGAAGGGCAGAAAGGAAGGAAATACATGTTCTTGGGACCTACAGACTCAGGAAACTGGGTAGAAAAGCCCAATTAGCTGAACTTACAGTGGAAGATAACTTAGTGTGAAAAATAAGCTTTGGATGACCTGCAAAGCAGGTAATTCTCACGTAGACGGTGCCATTACCCTGAGAGCACTTGTATCCTGTTCCCTGGCTTTGCACATGCTGTTCCCTCCACCGGGAATCTGCTCTCTCATCTGCCTGACGAACACGTCAAGACACAACTCAAACATCCCTGCTTCCTATAGCAACTTCTTTGGTGTTTCCACAGCTCTGTAGGCGGAGCTCTATCATCAAACTTGCCATACTGTATTTCAAGCATTATTTCTTCTCTGATTATAAAATAACTCCATCAATTGTAGAAAATTTATCATACTGCATTTTAAATATTTATTTATATTATTCATTCCTCTAGTAGAACATGAACTTCTAGTCTCTATAAAGAGAAAATAACTTGCTCAATCAACTTTCCAAGGAGCAAAATATGGAAATGTATGTGGTGACCATTATATGGGAAAATATATATGAGAGTAATTTGAAAAATTAAAAGGGGTTCACAAATACAATGTATTTTTACTTTTGTGTGGCTTCTGTCTCTTCATCTGTAAAATGGGGATAAGAGTGCCTTTGTCATGAAGTTCTTATGAAGAATCAATGAATTACAATTTGTAAAAGTGCTTGGAACAGTGCCCGGCCTCTAGTAGGTGTTCTGTGTGCATGAGTCATTGTGACCATTATCTTGATCTGTTCTGTGCTGCAGGCAGAGATCAGAGAGTGAAAAGAAGGCTCCCAGAAACCTGGAACCTGAGATGAAAGTCAGCTATTCTGGGTAGCAGAGAGAAAGGCTGATTAAAAACAAGACTATGCCTAGACAGCCCCGGCTGGTGGGTCTGCTCCTGAACACGCAGAGCCAGAGATTTCACTGTAGGAGGCTGATCAGAGAAGGCCTGTCTACACATCCCAATCTTAGTTCTTTCTCTACAGCCTTGGGTACGTCACTTGACCTCTTTGACCTCCATTTTCTCAACTCTAAAATAGCAGCCATATCTATTTCACTAGGGATTAAAGAGGTAACACATATAAAGCCTCTAACGGCGCTGGGCACAAGGCAGGCTCTAACCCAATACTAATTTCCCTAGTTCACCTACTCCCCTCCTAGAATGTGGCAAATGATCATACCGATCCTTGTGACATCAGGATCTAAATAAGGCGGTCCTGATTTTTTCTCCTTTAGAAGTTGGCCTAGGATTGCAGAATTCCCAGCAAGGCAGGGAGCAGGGAAAGCTCTGCAGACTGTGCCATTTCATTCTCACGCCCAGAAAATTCTGAGGCCCCTTGTCAGCTGCTGAGACTTTCAGAGCCCAAGTGACCCAGAAATGGAGGTGTGGGACTGTTGGAAGGAGGGGAAAATGTGCCGGCGGGACAGATCCTAATAAATCACGGGCACCGCAGAGGGGCCTGAGGATGACAGCCGAGCATTCCACCCCTCTGCACACCCACCAGGCTGCTCAGCGCCCTCCTGTCTGTACTTTGGAAAGGGTCAGTTTTTCCAGTTGGCGGGCGTGAAGGTGTGTGGTTTCTGCATCCTTGCTCCCACTCCCCTCTGGCTTGCTTCTGTTGGGTTCTGGGTATCCAGCTTCCCTATTCCCCCGGCTTACTGTTTTTTAATGTTTTCCTTCGCTTTGGTCTCCAGCTACCTGGCAGGAGTCTGGGCTATGATAAGGGACTGACATCATGCTGGACCCAGGCCAGACAAGAAGGTGGGAGGTGGGGCAAGAACATGAAAGGTCTAGTTCTTCACTTCTGGTTTCATACAGAGACCATTCTGTTTGAGGAGGCGGGCTGTCTCTTCAAGGAAGGGAAGGAATGAAAATGAGAGACAGGACAGCTCGCTGCCCGTCCTCAGGCGACTGCTGGGCAGGAAGTTTCACCAGGCGCACAGGATATATAATCACTTCCTTCTGCTTCACCCCTAACCAGGAAGCAGGGCTTCGTACCGTCATCACTCGTGTGGTGCTCTGTGGTCACATCCTGGGTTGAGTCTTCAGCCAAGGTAGTCTCTCCATGAGGGCTGTCACTGCAACAGAAGCAAGAGTGACTGGGACATCAGCATTTGCTTATAAAATTCTTGTCCTTCCCTTTATACAGCCTTGGAGCAAGGGTATCAAATCAATCTTATGCTCTCTATACCCTAAGTGCACACAACAGACAAATGCTTATAATCAAATATAAGGCTCTAGAGGTCCTCTAGCCTAGCTCCTGCTATAAAAACTACTTGGGACTACTTGAGACTTAGAATATCTCAAGACAAGGAAAAGCCCTTTTGAAGTTATAAAATACATTTTTTAGAAAATACAGAATAATTCAATTCCTTAAGGGCTAATTCTCTATGTGAATTCATTCCTATTTCTCAAGGAAGGAGCCTGGGGGAAGGGAAAACTGGACTTTTAGCATCAGATACACCTGGATCCGAAAACCAGCTCTGACACTTGGAAATGTGTGGCCCTGAGCAAGCTACTTAATCTCTTTAAGTCTCAGCTACCTTATCTACAAATTGAGGATAATGATCCATACGCTTCACAGAGCTGTGTGAGGATGTCATGAAATAATTTAGTAACAAGCTTGGCACAGAGGGGGTGCTTAACAAGTGGTACTTTCTTCCCTTTTTCTTTCTCATTTTGCTCGATGCTTCTAGGTTGCTTTGTGGTTAGACCGTGTACTGGTGAGAAAGTGGGAGGTGAGTCACAGGAGAGGGTAGGAAACAGAAGGAGGGGAGAAAGAATCTGCTGTGGGCTAGACTCTGCAAGAGGGCAGGCACGGAAGCCTGGTTAAGTTCTTGAAATAATTCACGAAATCTAAAATCATCCAGGGTAGAGAATCGAGGATGGCCAAAGCAGTTACTAGGAAAGTCGTTTCTGCTGCTGATCTCCCGGCTCATGGACTTCAGAGTTCATGAGGATGGGCGCCTGGAAGTTCTTACTTCCTAAAAAGTAGAGAAACCCTGTTCATTTCTAAAGGTCCTCCCCCAGCAATAGGTCGTAACAAGTGAGCCGCTCCGGGCAGTTCTGCGAAAGCACCACCCACTCGGCCCCACAGCCCAGCCACAGAGTTTCCTCCTTTGAGCCCCACAGCCTCTTCCTCCCCCTGGGATGGGTCCTACACTCCTGGGAAGTTCCCCAAAGATGAGGTGACCAGTTCAGAATGCACCCTTTATGGAGCAAGTCAGTTCCAAGGTTTTTCCGGACTCCAGAGAACATTCTAGGAGAATACCAATAGAGGTTCCTCTTTGTCAAAAACCATAGGCACAATTTCTCACTGTTTTCTGGGCCTAGGAACCCTCTGATGAGTGAAAAGTTCTGGGACCCCCTGGGGCCCCCAGGAGCTCACAGGGCAAAGGTAAACTTTCCCCCAGGACTTCAAGTTCATCTACACGGCCATCCACTAAGGCAGCAATTCTAAAATTCAGGGAGCTCCGGAAGGCTTGTTAAAAAACAGATGACTGTCACACCACAGAATTTCTGAGTCACTGGGTCTGGGTGGGGCCAGGGAATTTGCATTTCTAACCAGTCCCGTGTGATGTAGGCGCTACAGGGACTCCACTTTGAAAACTGCCGTTTTACGGTAAGGGTAAGATGATGGTTTTTAAGGCCCCTTCCTGCCCTAAAATCCTATGCTCCTCTCGTTACACACGCTCATCCCCAGCAATACCGCCAGTTGGCCACCAGCACCTGAGGTCTCCTAAGAAGCCCACCATGCCCCTCAGCGGGTAGTCCTAGAAAACCGGGTTCTGTTTCCAGGGCTGGAAGTGGGGTCAAATGGACGGGCCCCTCCTCTCCTCAGTGTACGGTGGTGCTCCCCTCTCCCTGGCCGACCTGGCCTCCTGGCCATTCTCCAGGCTCCTCAGGCTCTACGTCCCCTTCTGCCACCCCTCGTTCACCTCCGTCACCACCCTAGCTCACTGTGCTGGTGCTTCTCTCTCTTCCTGAAGAAGGGAGAGGAGAGGCCAGGAACTTTCTGGGTGAGTGTGAACCCTGTGGTCTGAAGGTCTCTCTCAACCCAGGGTCACAGACTTCTGCTCCTTGGGGGCTTCTGGCCTCCTTACTGGGTCTGTGGTAGTAAATTTCCCTGACTAATCTTGTGGTTTTTTTAGGGGCTGCTAATAAATGCTGGGTGCGTGACAAATGGGGGAGGGGGGTTGGGGAGAACACCTTGGAGAAAACTAGAGGAAGGTGCCCGCCTGTCTGTGTCCCTGTGAGCCACGGCCTTACGGGGCTGTCTGCTCCACTGTGCTGGGACTCTGGTGCAGGGATGGGGGGAGCCCTGTACCCCGCGCATCAGTCCGGAGCCTGCAGCAGTTTGATATTTGAGAAGTAAAGGTAGATGTTCTGCCTGACTTTAGAAGGAAGGTAAAGCAAGAACACTATTCTACAGCTTTTCACTATTATGCAAGGGGGACACCAACTCTCTAAGTCACATGCACAAGGACAGCTCCCTGGAGCTCATCAGCCGGGAGGCTGAGACCTGAACTGACCAACAACCTCCCCAGTCACCACCAACCATCTGTCGGTGACAAAAAGCTCTCTCTCCCAGCTGACCAGCATAGGTTGCTCGAGCTCAAACCCAGATGCTGAAAGCTGCAGTACAGCAGAGAGGAGTGAACCCAGGGATGTCACTGATATTATTATGTTCACAGACACATGAATGCCAATTTCTTCACTCCTTGGGCAAGAGGCTCTTCGGTGGGGGTCAGGGAGAAGTGCGGCCCAATCGGCCTCTAATTAAGTAAACAAGCTCCCCGTCCTGCCCTACCTCAGCTGATAGCAATGGGGCTGGCCGAATTGGTTCCAGATGTTGAATTCAGATGGAATCCGATTTGGGCTGGCTTGTGCTTTCAGCTCAGGCTGAAACACCATTTAGGGGAAGAAGGGAGGGGGAGGAGTAGGAGGAGTAGAGGGAGTAAGGGGCATTAGGGACTAAAAGAGAGAGGCAGTTGTCTTTGTGTTTAGCAGAAAATGACATCATAAGTGGCATCGTGGTGAGCAGTGTAGGGCGAAAGATGGTGTCCTGTACTAGGAGATAAGAGATCAGGGTTCAATCCTCACCACTGGGGTGGCCTGAAACACTGTCACTGGCCTCTCTGGGTTGCAATGACTTCTTCCGTAAAGTGAAAACAGTGCTTTGTCTAATGGAGGGGTCTAGCGAAGAGGTATCCTAGGGATTCCATTTAGGTCTGTTCCGAGGCTAGGTCATGGAAAACCTTGCCCCATGGAATCTAATCCTGCTTTAGGGTGGGACCATGCCTAACCTGCCCAAAATGGAGCTTACCTCTCTTTCTCTTCTCACCTTTTTGAAATCATTCTAAAGTGTCATCTTACAAACTCACAATCAGGCAATTATGTATGCCTCTTGTCTAAACTCTTCCCAACAAGAACAGATTCCCTGGAACCCAGGACTGTCTTTCTCCTGATACACAGCGCAAAGTAGAAGTCTGAGAGACCCTGTTGACTAGAGAACAGCAGTTCTATTATACACGCAACTTTATAAAAAACTCTTTCCTGGAGATTTCTAGTATTATTACTAATGTTGTTGTCATTATCTTTTCAAATAGTCTCTCACTGCACAGAACTCATAAAAAAGGGAGGTGGCACAAAGTGGCATTGATTCTGTAGGTGGGATGAGGCAGGACTGTCTACACCATCCCCAGACCCTGGCAGCCTGAAAGGCCTGGGAGTGGGAAGCCGGGAGGATCTGGGTGTTTCCCTTTGGTTTTTGTTTGGCCATCTGGCCCCCATGCCAGTGTGCATTGGTGACTCCCTCCCTTCCTAGAGCCCCAAGCCCCCTACCAGTAATCCTCCATGCTTCCTCCTCTGCTGTAGACAGGGCCCTCCAGCTCCCTGGGGCTTGGGAAGATGTTCTCATGCTGGATGATGATGGTTTTGATCAGCTCATTCACGTGGGCTTGGCAGGACACCTGGTCGTGGCCCTCCGGCACTGACATCAGCGAGGGCCCGAAGCAGATGGCGAGGTTGTAGGGGTCCATCATGTTCTCTTCACTGAACTGTGATAAACTGGAGGAGAAAGGAAAGGGGGCAAGCTGGAGAGCTCTCGCATGAATGCCCAGAAAACACAATCACAGAAGGCACTGCCAAGAGCAAAAGCAGAAGGTCCACAAATTGTCACCTGCCTTTCTGGGCGTCAGAGGCCTTCCAGAAAGTCAGCTGGCGGGGAGAGACTGACCACCAGGATGGTCATTCAGGAGCCAAGGAAAAGCAAGGTGGAGGTACCTTCTTGCAGGTCTGACCCCTCCGCTCTCTCCAGCTCCTGTTCATGTCCTCCTTACCGCCCCTCCTCACCGCCCCTCCTCACCGCTACCGCAGCCCTTGTCCACCAAAGCCATCCTGGCTTGGGAAAATACTCTGCAGAGCTGAAGATGGCTCCCATAGACCAAGGCACTAAGCTGCCAGAGTGGACAGGGACCTCAGGCTGCCCTGGTAATGATATGGCCAGAAGGCACAGGCATTGTGTGTTGTGTATCCTCTTGCATAACAAAATAATCAAATTATTAGGGATATTCCATTCCAGCCTCTAGACTTATTAAAAAAAAATAGCCAACTGATTAGCTTTTGTATTCCATCAAGTCAGTGAATTTCTTTCTGCAAGAGCTAATGCAATTGTTTTTCGTTTTCATAATATCCTCCCATATTATTACATTCAGGATTTATTCAGGAAAAGGTCAGCATGCTGTTTGGCTTTTGCTCAGCTTCCTCTGGATGCAGGCTGACTTTATTCTCGGGTATTTATTTATTCTGGGAACTCCCCCTTCTCAGCCAGCAGCTGCTCCAGCCACACCTCCAACCTTGGCCAAGGACCCAAGGCCTTCAATGAGGCACTGCACCAATGAGTGCCCACTGGGCCTTGCCTGCCCAGGCACTGGGGGCTGGGCCAGCTCTGGATCACCCCCCACACAGCCTTCAGAGCTGTAAGCTCTGCTGAGGGGCGTGGCCTCCCTTATGGGCATCAGCAGGAAGTCCCCAGCAGCGGATTCTGACAGATCCTGAGAAGAAACCAAAGCCCTCTGACAGGAACTAGAGGCCTGACACTCAACTGTCTTCATCTGAGCAGCTGTTCTTCAATATTGGAAAGCGTTTATTTCTAGGGTGCCCCACGTCCAGACTCACATTGCAAAGCTGGTTTTTCTCCAACCCAATGGTGTTCTCCCCTCCTGGAGATTCTGATATGTACCCCTTGCCCTTTCAGGAATCACTGCAGGACATGAGAAGTGGCACTATGGATGTGAACAACTGTCATGCAAAGAAAGTTGAGAATCACTATTCTCTAGGACCTAGAATCAAATGCAGGAGAGGCCAGTGACGGGGGAAGTTACAGATCTCAGTGGCTGGACTGCTTCACCAGAGTTTTTTTTGGACACAGGTTCCCACTCTGTTGCTGGGGCTAGAGTGCAGTGGTGTCATCATCATAGCTCGCTGCAATCTCACACTCCTGGGCTCAAGAGATTCTCCTGCCTCGGCCTCCCAGAGTGCTAGGATTACAAGTGTGAGTCACTGCACTTGGTTTCAGGGGAGTTCTTAAAGATCTAATTTTAGAATCCTTCCCTGATCCCAAGTTAAAGGGGAGCAGAGATTTAGAAAAGCCTGGGGGAAGTTTCTAAGTCTACTTCTTGGTCAAATTAAAACTGGAGAGAGACAGGAGAGATAATTACCTTGGTAACCTCAGGAACAACTGAGGCATGAAGACCACAAGGCTAAAGCTCTAGCTAATCCCAGGCCAGTCAGTTCTTGCTGTCATGGAGGGACAAGGAGGAGGAAGGCCCTGGTTCTTTAGCGTGATCTCACAATATTTTCGTAACGTGAAAGAAAACCAGTTTCTGGGAAGCCTGGTGGTTAAAGGGAAAGAAACTCTAGCCCTGATCAAGCTGAGCCTTTTCAAGATACACAAAAGATGCTGAGTTCAAAGCAATTAGGAGAACGCACTCATCTTATGAACTGAAATTACAGAAATGTAGTAGAACTCTTAGAGGGGATGATATCAATATAAGTTGACACCAAAAAGAAAAAAAATTTAAACAGGGAGCTGTTACCAGTGTTAGCTATTAGATATTTCTCTAAAAATAAAAATCCAGTGTTTGAGGTCTTATGCTAGGCACAGCCTTCGGGAACTTCAAAAATTACTAACACTGTGATATTTTACACACAAAACTCTAGTCCCAGGTCAAAGGCATGTAACAGATGAGGAATGCTCTGAGGCCCACTAAAGCAATGACCGTTCCATTCATAGATGGCTACAACGACCACGGACTTGAACAGGATACATCTTCACGGACTGTGGTCTCACGACTCTAGGTCCATGTTTTTACTCCCATCAAAATATAAACTAAAATCCTTTTCTCTTTCCCAATGTATAGTGGGAACATCTAAGTTTAGGGGCTAAAGCAGTGGTTTTTAACTATTTGAGAGATAAGAATTCCTTAAAGAATTTGAAAAAACCTAGAAAATTTTTAGGGAGAGAATTCTAGCATTCTCTCCCTAGAAAAATTCATATGTGCACAGACAAATACACACAATTGTGTGTGTAAAATATCACAGTGTTACTAATTTTTGAAGTTCCCGAAGTCTGTGTTTAGCGTAAGATCTCAAACACTGGATTTTTATTTTTAAAGAGATATCTAATAGCTAACACTGGTAACAGCTCCCTGTTTAAATGTTTTTTCTTTTTGGGGTCAACTTATATCGATGCCATCCCCTCTAAGAGTTCTACTACATTTCTACAGCTTCAGTTCATAACATTAGTGCGTTCTCCTAATTGCTTTGAACTCAGCATCTTTTGTGTATCTTGAAAAGGCTCAGCATTGTGGTTAGGAACAGAGGCTTTTTGGGGATGGGGTAACGAGGTGATCAGGATTGGTGTGGAAAACTTGCTTTTTATCATGAAAAATCATGGGTTTTTCACTTTTTACTCCAGAGGCCCCCAGCTAAGCTGCACTGGGATTTTGGACCCACAAAAACTGTGACATACTAAGTTTTTTTTGTTCCTTGAGATTGAGGATGTGCCAAATCCAGGAAGAAACCATGGCCAGAAGTAAAGTACACACATACCCAGGACCCAGAGCAATGACGGAAAAGTGTCGTGAAAGTCTGGGCCCAGGCGGAATCTCCACCAGAAGCCACCTGCCAACTACTGCTGCGCCTGTCAGTAAGTGCACACGTGTCGGCTGCCATCTTCCCCCCATGGGGTGGTCTTTATCACCCGTGTCCTGCATTCTATTTGTTGTTTTAGCCAACACTGTGATTACTAATGCTGCACCTTTTCAATGTAACACTTTGATGAGCAAATCAATCTTTTTTTAATCAGAAAAAAACCCAACCAATAAAATAAAACTAATAACTTGAATTGGTGCAGTTCCCACATTTTCTCCAACAGTGGCCACCATCTCCAGCACTGCGCCATGCTCGCTCTGCGGCTTCTCCCCGTTGTACTTCCACACACAGCCAGCCAGGCCCCGCTCCCCCCACGCCACCTCTGCCCACCACTGTCACGCTCCTTGCTCTGGGGGCACAGACTAGGCTCATGCTGAGGGCAGGTATTGGTCTACGAGGGGAGACAATGATTGGTGGCCCTGAGGGGACTGACTAACTCCACAGTAATTAGCAGGGTTTCCAGGCTGCGTGTGAGCACCCTGTGTGAGTCATTAGGGGTTTTTAACCGATAGGCAGTTGCGGCGCTGAGTCAGGGCCTGGCTAATGAACGGAGCAGACGCAGCCACATGGAAGAAGCCAGCTGGGGAGCAAGGACCCTCTGTAGCACTGCAGGGCCAACGATGGGGCTACGTGATGGTTTGGGCACCCGAGAAAAGGTCTCAGGCATGGGCTGCCAACTCAGATGTCTACAGGGCCAGGCCGAACTTGTAAGCAAGCTGAGGCTTGTGAACTGGCCTCTAAAGTTGTATTCCTTTTAAGCAGAGTCCAACCTTGCAGGAAGACTCTTCATTTTCACAAAGAAATATGTGCTAAAACACCCTGGCCTATTGATTTACCTTTTGTTTTCCCCTTTTTGATTTATGGATCTGGGGAAATATTTTTATGCTATATGAAAAGCCACAAGGCAAGAGTGATGATAAATGACAACTGAATTCAGCCTTAGGCTTGGGGGCACCTGTGAGGGTGGGCTGGGCAGTGCCTGTCCCATCTTGGGGGCAGCCCTTACCGCACAGGGAGTTGCTACTGCATGGCAATGTAGATCCAGTATTGCCAGATCTAATAATTTTTCAAAAGAATCTAGAAATCTAGGTTTTTAAAAAATGAAATCTTCTGCTTCCCAAATCCAAACCCATTTTTACCATGATGCGCAAATCCTGCATGTCCTATGGCTCCTTTTCCACTTCCTTTAGGCTGCTGCTTGTACACTGTCTTCTCAGAGAGGCCTTTGCTGACCACCCACGTACAGTGGCTCTCCCTCCTTTCACCTTCTCCCCCGGCCCCATTGACATCTCTGCACTCTCTCCCGCTTCTTTACCCTTCTTTATTTTTCTTCTAAGCACGTATTCCTCCCGACATGTCTGTTATTGTCCGTCTTCTCCCCTGGAATGTGAGTTAAATGATACCAAGGCTTTCATCGCTTCTTTAACACTGTATTCTTACAGCCTAGCACTGTGGCCAGCACACAGTAGGTGCTCAACAAATATTTTTGGGAATGGATGAATAGACACAGGTCCATCTGGGAACTTCCAGTAGCCAAATCAAGGCCCAATCCAGTTGTTCACTGGGAAGGCTACTCACTGATTGAGGAAGGCAAAGAGGTATCTCATGATAATCAGAGTGGTTTTGGGCAGGACCAGGAGGACTTTCCGAATGTGCAGAGCTCTCTCCTGCAGGTTGTCCATTGCTGAAAGAAGAAAACCATGTGTTACCCTCCTTGTGACTAAGACCCCAGGGAGTAGTGATCAGAAGTCCTCACGACCAGCAGGAGTGACACAGCATCATGGCAAGCCCACACACAGCACTGGGTGCAGTGACAGGACCGTCATCCCTGTTGCTCCTTAGGCTGAGGCTGCTGGAAGAGGACACTTACTGGGCTCCAGACACTTGCCGATGCAGGGCGCAAGGCGTATGCTCCTTGTGCCCAGAAGGGGTTGGAGATGTTCTGCATAGCCTCGACTACCCTCTTATTCAAATGACCACAGACAAGGAGCTGTCCACAAACATGCCATGACTGCTCAGCACCCATTCTTAGAGGGCCTACATCTGGGGCAGGAGAGAGGCTGCATAGGTCCTGTCCTGCCCACTCTACACATGTGTCACCTTGTCCTCTGCACAAGTCTGGCTTATCTTGCCCCTCCCCTATCTGCAGTCCGGATGAGTAGAATGTAGCCAGAGGTGGGAGATGGCAGGCCCCTGGGTAAGGAATGATACCCAGGAAGAAGACAGAGACGTTTCCTTGTGCTGTAACAGGTTGGTTACAGGTACAGCTGTGGGCCTGTGGCCTCCACCATGGGCTGCCTCCCACTTCCACAGTGTGCCATGTGCCATTGTCATTTTCTATGCGTGCCTTTATGTGAAAAAGAGATGGGAAGTACTGGATTAGGAGGAGGAGTATATCTCAGGGGAGAACTGGGCAGCCAAGGGATTTTGAGCCATCTTGGCAACCCCGGTTTGGTTTAAGATACTTTTCCTAGGTCCAGTCCTGGAAAAAGACATGAAGACATGACCGATGGGATGCATACGCTTAACCATCCACATAACTTGTTTCCACTAGACTCCCATAAATAGCAGGTCAACAAACAAAATCATAGAGCTGCTTCATGAATATTCTGGGCCTTTCTTTCTCAGAATAACTGAGACAAGAACAAGTCCTCAGGGCAGATATTGAGTCAGACTGGAAACCTGGGGAGCACGAAGACCTTGGTTGACCTAGGAAGAAGGATCTTTTTTCCATTTAAAGGGCACCATTCCTTCTGGTCTCTGGAGCCATCATTCAGATGGGGTCTGCTTCCAGGATGGCCTGATATTAGTCCAAATTTCCACTGACTGTTTTCCATGGAAAAAACAATGAGAGGACATTCCAGTATCACAAGCTAAACTAAATGGCTAGGAATAGCTTTTCACAACCCGAATTTTAGAGTAAGAGGTAGAGAACCTCTAAGAGAGTGAAGTAGAGAATATCTTTCTCATTGGGAAAATATCATATTACTGCTGCACAGAGGCTTTTGTTCCTAGAAGAACACATATTAATACATCTCACAGGTAAGCCGTGTCAGGTTTAAAGCAACAAGCAGGAAATATTTGCAACGCTTACGCTTTTTCTCCTTGTATCAGGAAAAGTACAAGTATTAACATGTAAGCTTCAAATACATAATTGAAAATCACTAGGCCTTATATATGAATATAAAGGTATTTTACTAAAGGAAGATAACTCCCAGAGAAGCAAAAGTGTTGAAGACTGAGACGAATCAGAAAGAAAGAAGCCAGGAGCCCTGACTTGGGGTCCTAGACTCTTACTAAAAAGCCATTCCTCTGCCTCGCCCACCAGGGGCTAATGGAGTGAGGATGAGGAGGAGAAACTTCACTGGGGAAAAGGGAAGCTTTACTGAAAGGTTTATGAGAAAACAGAGACTCCGCACATTTTTATCTCTTGCTGTCAGGTGCTCTGGCCCACAAGGCAGTCTGAAGCCAGGACGGTACTTACTGACACACGCCATCAGGTCATGAAAGATGTCCTTGGGGAAGAGAGGGTGTTCCAACCCCCGGAAATAAAGTTTCAGGACACCAGCTATAGAGTCCATGTCGTGGTCATTCTGGTCTCCAGCCAGGGGGTCCTCTCCTGGGGATAAACAACACCCCACCCCCCAAAAAAGAGTAAGAGAGGCAAAAACATATAGGACAAAACGGAAGCGGTGGTGGTGGGGGGTGAACTATTCATATCCTTTCCAGTCTATGGGCTCTCTGCCCAGCATGGTGGCCATACATAGGCAGACCAGGGAAAGATAAAGCAAAGACTGCTCAGTTTCAGGGGCCCAGGACCAGAGGAGGGCAGAAGAGTCCATCAGCATAAACTCTTTTGTGCCAGTCCAGCTCAGGGACATTTCCTATGGGCTAGGGTTGGGACACAGCAACTGTTTCTCTCACAAGAATCATGAAACCAGGCTGGGACGAAGCCTCTAGGGGAGGAAAACGAGGCCAAGGAGGCCAGTTCCTCAGACGAGCTCTCATTCCTCCTGGCCCGCAACAAAGAACACTACCTACTTACAGGAGAACAATCGTGCCAGAGCTCCCTATGGAAAATTTCATATCAGATGTAATTAGATTTAATGATAGGACCAACCTCAAATTGAAACTATATATATCCATTACAGTGACGGAAATTGCCAAAGCTTGCCCATTACCTTAATAGCCCACAAGATAATAAATGGGCTACAATGAACTTGCACATTAGCCTTGATATTAACTGCCACCAAGGGTTCCGGATGAAACCATAAACCGCCCAGATATCAGAGTTAACTTTTGCGTTTTGGCAGATCATTGGCATGAGAGGCAGGGCGGCTGGGGCCAAGGAGGCAGGAGGCAGCTGGGACGTGCCCTGGCATCTCCCGCATATCCAAAGGGCAGTGTGGGCAGGAGAGCAGGTGCCCTCTGAGGAGGGAAGCAAGCTGCCTTCTAACCTCTGCGGAGCTCCCAGGGGAGAAAGTCGAGCCAGTAACCCAGGGGGTTGGCAAACATTGGGCCTTATCTTCAAGGCTGTTTCCTCACCTCTCTCAAAGGCGTTTTTGATGTCATTCACTTCCACCTGGGATCCTGACACCCGGAAAATTCCTTCATGCTGCAGTCCTGGAAACACACAGGGAAAAGTGACCGAGGAGAGGAAAAAGCAAATTCACACCTGCAATGCCAAGCTTAGCTGGATGCCTATCTCCCCCTGCCAGTGTGTATATGTAAGCACCCTGCTCTCTTCTGTAGGCCAAAGGAGAAAAACATGGGCAAGGATGTTGGAAAAGTCACTGGAATGATTATGAGGCATTAGCCTAAAGAAAACATCACGACAGAGACTCCTCCTGACTCCAAGGGTGACTATGAAGCTGGTTCCTTCCCTTGTCTTTGCCTCTCTGCCTCTCTGCTCCCATCTGTAAATTGGAGAAGTGACCCGCTAGAGCTTTCTTATCACCCAGGGTCAAGAATGGGGAAATGGAGCCTGGGCAATCGAGTGAGACCTTAAAAACTCTTATAAACTAAATTAAAATAAAAAGAATAGGGGAAATGGGTTGTGGCAGGCAAGACACTACTTACCGCTGGTGGAGTTCGGTAGAGTCTGAGAGTATAATTATTGCTTTGGCTGCCCTAACACTGCTTGACTGTTCTAGGGGGGCAATGCTTTCAATATTTATGAAAAAGAAAGGGCAGGAATATTTAAGTGATCAGTCAACAGACAGCATTGCCCGACACTGTGCTAGGCACTGGTACCTGACTACAGCTTTACTCTAAAGACAACATGCGCGAATGTTACACCATGATTAATGGGCACAGAAAGTGATTGCTGCTAATAAATGCTTTAACCTAAATAATTCACTCGGTCCCCACAAGTGATAACCTACAACAAGGTAAGGGTTAGCAGCAGTCCCATTTTCTAGGTGAGGGGATTGATGTATGACGGCCAGTCTGCAGTTATATAGGGAATAAGAACCAGCGCCCAGACCCAAGCCCAGGCCTTGCGGCTGCGATCGTGTACTCAGTCCTCAACACCAGGCTTGTGGGGCCCATCAGAGCTCCAGTGCAGAGAGGGCAGAAGCCACACGGGTCCGTCTGAACATGCATGTGGCTTATAGACAGCACCACACATGCAACTGCAAAACCAGTGAGAAATCCAGGACCTGTGTCATTAGTGCTGAGCCCGAGTGTTGGACTAAACTAGCATCTCTAATCACATCAGGACGGCTCAGCCTTTCTCAGGAGCCCCAGGTCTCCATCTTGGGCATTTTGTCAAAATCTCTGTTATGGCACAATCCTTCAAAAACCTTGATGTGTTGGAGAAATCTCAGATTTATTTTAGGAACACGAAACAGACTAACTCTACATTTTGCCCACTGTTTCAGAGTTACTCTCTGAGGGAGGGGTGGCTGGACTCTGTCAGCTAGCCCTTTGGAGGTAAACCACACAGGCCAGGACTGGAATTCTGACTCCAACTGAAACAACATGAAGAAATAAACAGAGGAAATGTGATTCCCTGATTTGTAATGGGACTTAAGTTGTCTCCTCCTTCTAAGGGAATCTCCAGAATATTTCTCACAGTGTGGCAG